TGTTTATATACCAGCGGTTTGATGGAGACCAATTAAGGCTGAATATCCACCTAGAATTCTAAGCTACACTTATTTACAACTTGAACAATGGACTATGCCTTGAATTGCAAGTCTTTTGCAAGCAAGTTTCACTTAGAGTCTTATGTGGTACTACCGTACTAGACCGTCAGTAGACTATCCCTCGTGTGGAGCGTATAAGTCATACTCCTTGCTCTCTTAGTAAGCTTCCTAGAAAATTCATCCAAAATCTCCATAGACTACGACCACTCCAGCTCACAAAGGTGCGTTCTTTCAAGAATGGTCTGCAGGATAGCATCTTCGCTAATTAAAGAACTTATTAAGACATAACCAACATGCCTTGCAGCTCATGAGAGTACATGCAACTTCAGTTAGAGATGGTTTAGATTGGTACTCCCCTCAAGTTAAATAATAGCTTGTTCGTCCCAGGGTCTAATTCACGGGATCTCCAATCACATAATTATGTTACCGTCATAGTAGAACTCACATGGGTCTCAAACCCATCTCCTTCGATGCATTGTCTATCATATTTCGTCATAGTCCCTTCGTGAAGGGATCTGCCAGGTTTGGATGTAATTCAATGTTATAACCCCAAAGTTTCTCAAATTCCTGAATGACTTCAATCGTCATTTCACATGTCTAAACGATTTCATGTTATCCTTAGAACTATTCACTTTGAAAATTACCATTTGATTGTCACAATTCATAAGAATAGCCGGCCCCGGTATTTCAACCACAAGCATATCCATCAATAGATCACGCAGCCATTCTACCTCAACAGCAGCAGTATCTAGTGCCGTCAGCTCTGCTTCGATGGTTGACCTCGTCAAAATAGTCTGCTTACAAGACCTCCATGTAATAGCAGCACCACCTAGTGTGAAAACATATCCACTAATAGCTTTGATCTCATCCACATCAGAGAACCAATTAGAACTGCTATATCCCTCCAGTACCGCGGGATACCCAGTATAGTGAAGCTCCAAGTCCATAGTACCTTTTAAATGGTGCATCACTCGCTCAAGAGCACGCCAGTGATCATCTCCCGGGTTAGAGGTAAACCAGCTCAACTTGCTCATAGCAAAGAAGATGTCACAGCCCAGAAATTCATAAGTAATTTCCAAACTAATTTGTGCATTAAATCCTCGTCTAGAAATCAGCTAAGGTACATAAACTGACAATTTATACAAATTCATCAAAATAAGCAAAGCGATAAATACTTACATAAGAGGCACTTAGTTCTCACCACCAAGAAAACTGCAGCGGAAAATAAAATCTAGCGAAGCTCCAACTCCACTCCCACAGGCAGCTCAACTGGGATCTAAACCAAAGGTCTTCTCCTTCTAGATCCTTTTTCTTCAACTGAGATTTGGTGTTTATTGCAAGGTGAGTACATGGAATACTCCGCAAGCCACACAGCAAATATGCAAGTGCATAGGGATCGATACCAAAGAATGGCATGATGTAGGACTCATTTGCAAAAGCATCATTTAGCAAAGAGTTCAAAATTTGTAAAATAGTAGAGTAATTAATTATCAATATTAATCCAATGCTATACAACATACCTGCTGCATAGGCCCTGCCAAACCTGAACAACCAACCCCGGTCGTACAGATCAAACCTCCAAATCAGGAATTAGCCATTCCAAACCAGAAGTTAAACTAATTATCATCAATTATCACATTATTATTATTAACGAGTAGTGTGAGACTAATCAAAACATTATTAGACTCACTCATAACCGCGAGCACGGCTATTCGAATAATTTTACTCTAGCCAGAGATGTACCACTGTACGCACAAGACACGATTTCACACATGTTGTCATGCCCCGAAGTACCACCACAGCACTACAAAGAGGGAAATCGTGACATTACCCTTCACATAACACAATTCATAACAGTGCACCGTTCCTGGATCATAATCACCCCCTCAAGAGCCAGAGGTATGGACTCCCCAGCGAGCCTACGGACTTATCGCCGCTTTACAGTCTGGTGTCTCGCAATGAAACACACTGTACAAAAGGTAAAGTCGTTGCCCATACTGGCTTGTGGTTGACACGGTTAATGTTTCACAACAGTAGCTCGCGAACCGGTCCTTAATTGTCATGAGCACAACCATCAAAATCATGTGCTCACAACTCTCCATTAATCAACTTTTAGTTTATAATTAATTATCATAACACGTTGACCATCGTGAGCTACCATTAAATATAACCATAAGTGATAGTGAAGTATAAATTATCCCATTAATGAGCTAATGTTTCTAAGCATAACTAAGTAATTACATCTAATATCTAGTTGAACCAATATATAAGTCTAACTAGTCAAATTATAACCCAAGTTATCTAGGAAAAAAGAGAAAGCTATAGATAAAGGGAGGGAGTGCATTGGACTTATCAAATAAAAAAAAGCACCTACCTTATGCTTATTTTCCTTTGGAACAAAGATGTACCAATATCATTTCATACAATTTTACAAATCTTGTTACTTGTCATGGGCTTTGGGCCAGGCGTCCTAGGCTCATTGGATAGGATTAGGGTTTGTTAGGATTAGATAAGGTTTCTTAGGATTAGATTAAGTAGTCCTCCATCTATATAAGGAGGGATCCTATCCCAGGTCAGTTAGGCATTAGATTAAGATTTATCTTAGTGCCCATCGGCCTGCCTTCTCAGTGCGACGGAGAGCGTCGCGTCGTTTAGGTTCAGGACCATTCCTCGTTATTTCATCTACTATAATCCAATCTATCCCTATTCTTCCCGATTCTTCTTCATATAATTCTTGCTCGTGACAACTTGGTATCAGAGCTTCGGTTCCGTGCCCATGGGTGCCGAGATCGCGGCGGTTCCCAACATCAGCGAAGGTCTTGCCAAGATCTCGACGAAGATGATGGACTTGGCGGCACAACTCCAGGCTTTGGCGGCTCCATCAGCCGAGCAGGCCATGTCTCTCGGAGCTGCTGAACGATCCGACCGGCAGGCCATGACGTTCCTGCTACCACGGCAGCACGAATTCAAGCAGCGGTTGCGAGGCGCCAACTCGAGGAGGAGGATGAGTTGCCTGCCACAGCCAAAGGCGGCCATCCCTCGCGGTCGTCTGCCAGGAGTTATGCCACTCATCTCGGCGGAAACAAGACTTGGTGGCGTGGTGCTGGGGATGGCATCAACGGCGCCACTTCTGCCCAAGCCGCCGTCGACCACCACGGCGAAACGACATCCTTCACCGTGCCTACAGGCACCACAACCGGTTGGGTTGTCACCGGTAACAGCTGTCAGATGGAGTCTTCCTCCTTCGCTCTTGGCGGCGCTTCAACAGTCCGAGCCATTGGAGACCACCCGGGAGAAGCTCAGGGCGACCGACGACACACCGTCAAGGGCAGCGGTGCCTACTTTTGTGACGCCAACCCTTGAAACAAGAAGGCGGGATCAAGGTCGTTGGAGAGCATGCCTAGCCGGAACTCGACCTCGCTGTTCGGCCTGGCAATGCCGCCGTGGTTATTGGCGTTCTCAACGGAGGCAGAGGAGACGACTGCGAGTTCCACTTCCATGGCGGCGTAGCACGGTACGGGCATCCGTGCGATTTCCGGGCGATGCGATCATGCGAATCGGTTTCCACAGTGGGAGGCGCAAATTCCGGCGACGGTTGGAGCAGAGCCATGGGAAGCGGAGCGGCTTCTTCGGGCGCCAGGTTTGGCACGATCTGCTGGCGAACCGTGCCCTTCGCGCGGATGGCCCCGCTCGTGCACTCGATTGGCTCCCGCGGAGGCGTGGGGACGGCGCAGATCGCTCCGAGTCCGAGCGCTGGCTCGAGAAGCTCGCGATTCGATCGCAGTTGGCTGCATCGCTGCTGTCGGCGTGGCCACGTGAAGAAAAGGATAGGGTTTCTGTCTTCTTCCAGTTGGGCTGGCTGGTCTGGTCTGGTTGGTTTCCACGTTGGCCCATGAATCATAGATGGTTCTTCCTCATGTTTTGGGCCATGAACCATGCAAGTAAACTGCTGCTTCTCCCTTTGCTGTTGGTCTGGGCACGTGGGTTTTGGTGAGAGGCATGCTGCTGTGCTTGGCCACGGCTTGAGCCTAACTGTCCGTTCAAGGCTTCTAGACGGCGTTCTCCTGTCCATGTACATGATGACAGCAGTACTAGTTCTTTAGGGCTCTTTACAAGCTGAGATGTAAAAGGCTTGAGAGTCTTCGTTTAGGTTATGGTACTTCGTTTGAGTCCAGCAGGGTGAGCTGCAGCTTGAGGACGAGCTGCTCAAAAAGGGGGGTGTAATGTCATGGGCTTTGGACCGGGCGTCCTAGACTCATTGGATAGGATTAGGGTTTGTTAGGATTAGATAAGGTTTGTTAGGATTAGATTAAGTAGTCCTCCATCTATATAAGGAGGGATTCTATCACAGGTCAGTTAGGCATTAGATCAAGATTTATCTTAGTGCCCATCGACCTGCCTTCTCAGTGCGACGGAGAGCGTCGCGCCGTTTAGGTTCAGGACCGTTCCTTGTTATTTCATCTACTATAATCCAATCTATCCCCATTCATCCCGATTCTTCTCCACAAATCCTTGCTCTTGACATTCCTCCAATCCAAAGAATCATATAGGAATAAAATCCTAAGGAATTCAATCCCCTATGAAAATCCTCCAATCCAAAGGTGCACTTAACAGTTTATTAAGAAGGATTTGGAAGTTAGGTGTTGAATATTCTCACCACTACTTCTTGTTTATGATCAGATTCAGTCAAACTTTTCAGAGTTGATATGGAGAAAAACGATATTAAATTCTGCATATTTCTACACTACAAATTACTGAAGTTATCCGATTAAAATAAGCGGAACGGATCGATAACTACTAAACAAAACATTGTGCCAAACCTTCTAGTATTCAAATTTTGTTGGGCATTTCCTTTGGACATCAATCCATCTAAAACATAAACAGGCGGACTATGCGAGTGGAACATGTGGTTTTCAACCAAATGGATTCACATGAACAACTTCAAAGAATGCAGCTTTTCTTTCTATAGTGACAATTGAAATGCAAAAACAACTGATACATGAGCCTCAGAAACAGCATATGATACCAATCCACGGGAATAACAGGTATATGTAATTGACAAGAACAAAAAAAAAATGAGGAGGCATCAGTTGTACATACTCAGTTGTGATTGATGACAAATAGACATCTCAAAAGAAATCTAAGGACATCAGTAACAGGTTGGCACAAACTTGACTACCATTCACCTTCCTGGCCTCATGTGTCAGAAAACCAAGCCTGAGATATCAAAGTAACCAAAGCCATACATATGCCAAAATATTGCTCTTTATTCTGTGAATGAAAAACAAGACTGATCTGGCATTGTGATTCATGGATCTACCGCTCGCGTCCTGCTCTGTGGCACAGTGCACTCATGATCGCAATGCAGCGACTCAAGGTTCTAAGCTTCCACCTTCTTCTTTGGTTGCCGATGCACGGATCCCTTCCATGACTTCTGCTTCAGGACTATGCCCTTCTTCTTGGGGGCATACTGCTGTTTCCTGATAAAAAATATATCAGCGTGAGATTGAACCACAACATATAAGCAATTCACATCCATCCTTCATGATTCAAGGAACTTACATATTACAATTCAACCAAGTTATGTCCCATATTTCTATTTATTAAAATTACTTTGATTGCACCCATTTCGTAGATAAAACAGGAAAAAAATTCCCACACTTCATCTCTAGCAGACTGAAGCAGAGCTACTGATTTACTTCTGAATTGCTGGCTTCTGGTTTTGGGTCTACAATTAAAAAACCTTATGGTTGCAATGAAATCAATTCATGAGTCTATTATATGTTGCTAAAATTAACCATGATTTGCTATCCCACTCCTGACTTGCCAGGCACGCGCACTCTTCTCCCATTCTTCAATAAACAACACCTTCCCCTCCCAGAATCTGCAGCTCCGCCCGATGCCCACTCCCCCCTCCCCTACCAGCTCTCCAGCAAAAGCGCCAGTGAGAGCCAATGTTGCACTCCTGACCTCCATGCGCACTGGCATGGGCCTGATGCTGCGCTCCCATCCTCCACACACTCCCCCTCCCCCTTTAGGCCTCCATGACAGAGGAGACTGCCGTGTTTCCATGGTAAAGTTCCTTCGTCTGTGAGGGTTAGATGGCATCTATTGTCTTCTATGAATTATGATGGATATCACCTCCATTGCCCTGCGTGCTCAATTAGCTGTCATCTTTCTAACCTACATGCTCACATGGGTATCATCACATATCCTTTAGCCGATGCACTTGTGTCCTCTCCAGTCAGAACTGAGACACATCTTCAGCACAGTGCGTTCTAACAATTTTTGGTGTGTCAGCATGATGTCAGTGCTTTAGGTAAAATTCAGTGATGGCTTTCTTGATGCTTCTGAGAATCATGCTGCAAACATTATGTGGACTGGTATTGGTTGCTCTTCTATTCACAGATGATTGTATGAAGCTTAAGCAAGACATAGTTGCCCTTTCTAAAAAAGGAGGAGCAAGTATGAAACAAACTTCAGCCTTGGATACAGAATACTGATCAAGATGCACCTTTCCAATGGGAATTCTCTAAAAATCTATGAGAACCCTAATGCATTGGTAGGCTGGTTAAAATTGCCACTACACCTTCCTGTACATTAGTGTTTATTTCTTCAATTTCTCATAGCAATATGACATACTAATAAGTTGACAACTTTGCATGGTTCTAGCTTTTAATAATTTGAAGCATTTTTTGGTTTGACCATATGATCGAGGTAGGTAACAAATGGTTTGGAACCAAAACGTACATCTGTTGTCGTTTGATATCGGAGGCAATGGTTTACATTAATCTATATTGAGAGATGATTTCACCTCTTCATCCAACTCATATTATTGTGTCCTTTTATAGCCGCAAATTTGGGTTGGTCAATAGTAGGCTTACTGGATGTGATCTTGGAAAGAGCAATGGCAGCCGATGGGAAGGCTGGGTGGTGGTATGTAACAAAAAGGAAGAGAACTTATACCTGAGCTACTTAGCATACCTCTACAGATAAAAAAGAAATACATCACAGAGCAACGTGGTTGTGTAAATTATCTTGTGATTGTGGGATTGCTCATATATTCCTTTTTAGTTGAGGACTTGAGGTCCAAATTACCAGGCTCTTGAATTCTGGGATTGCTCATGTTCCTTTGCCATATAGGTGTTTTATGGAATTCTGCTCAATTAATCAGTTCTCTATCTGAACTGCGTGCAATCAAGTAAATAGCAATGAAGAATTGTTTTCACCCCCATTGTGTTCTTTTTTCTTCAAACTTTCCTATCAAAAGGTGAATATATTGCAGATCAATAAAACCACTGGTCATTTCACTGCATTAGGGCTAAGCGCTGGTCGTCATAGGTGATATATGAAGGAGGGGTCATTTTTGTACAATCATGGCATGAAGTTCAGAACTCTTTCAGTTACTGTACTGCAGCTGCAATCTAACTTGGTAAGCTAATTATAACATATATAATACTACCTGAAACCGTGACATCAAAAAGCAACTACTTCCTCCGTTTCATATTGTAAGACTTTCTAGCATTGCCCACATTCACATAGATGTTAATGAATCTAGACACATATTAACATCTATGTGAATATGGGCAATGCTAGAAAGTCTTACAATATGAAACAGAGGGAGTATTGAATAACAATAATAGTTTTATTTTTATTCCAGAGATATCATACTGAATTATTTTTTATTTATTTTGTATTTTTCATGTATCAACAATCTTATAGAGATGTTTTTATGCTTTTGATAGCATTTGGCAATTCCAAAAATCCCATGTCAGACTTTTTTTGCAAGTTCAAAAAATGATTCATGATCATTCTTCACATTCAGTCGGTGAACTGATAATCAATTGTTCTTTCATGGATTATTAAAACACTTAACTAATGGTAGACTGATTCCCTTTTGTACAATTTGCTGTGCAAATAATTGTTGAATTACCGAGTTGCTCCTATGACTTTTTCACTGTGCCAAAAATGATTTTGTGAGCACCTGCGGGTGCTGGTCCTCTTGAAGATGGCAACGCTATTTGTCGATCTGGCCAAATTCAAGGTGGGTCTAACTGAATGCAGACCATACTATCTCTAAAAGTGCCTTTGAGCCTATAGTAAGCCAACTTATAATAACTTATATTAAATTTGGAATGACAGTGTTTTCTTTTTGTGGGTTTATTGGCCCGAGTGAAATCTAGCCAGATCAAGGCCATGTGTGATTTTGGTTTCTAAATAAAAGTAATGGTTATGAACGGTATGGTTTTCCCTTTCTTCTCAGGATTGAATCTTTGAAATATGCATGAATGGTTAGCTTTGAATGAACATTTGTACTGCTGTATTATACTATTAACAAGTGCAACTTTTCAATAATGTGACTTGGGATTTAGAAATTAAGGATTAAAAGTTTGCACAGAAAAGGCATAGAGAAGATATTGGTAGCATTTAGCTAACTCCAATAGAGGGATGGTTGTGCAACCTATAAGAGAGTAGTTAAAGGAAAATTGGAAATTATGTGTATAACTCTGCTGCTTTTCGATGTCATCGATACATCAGAAAGTAAGAAAGATGACCAATGGTTGAGATGATGAACAGTCATTCTGTGCATGGTTTCAAATAATCAATTATTTTCAAGTTATACAAATTTTAATTTGCAATGCTTTTAAATCCTCTTTTAGAGGAACCTTGAAGCAGCAATGAGGTGACATGCAAAATGCATTTTGCACCAGAACACCTTGAACTAAAACGGGATAAATTTCTGATGGTAACACTAATAGGATGTTAATTTATATATTTCTCAAGATACTGTATAGTAAGAGCAAGTCTCCACATTTCAGAAAATTGTGCTTTCCTTGCAACAAACGGCACTTGGCTAGTGTACATCTAAAATATCATTTCTAGATCACCATCTGTATCGCTCGTTTAGTATGATTACAACAATATGCAATTTCCCCCAGCAACAAACACAAAAATTTGGCACTGATACTACTATATCATCCTGGTTTCTTCTACTGTTCTACTCCTAGGATTCAAGAAAGCCAAAAGACCGTTCTTTAGCAGTAACACAGAAACTAATCAATTCCACATGAACAAAACAATAGTAACTTGCTAAGATTTGGACCATATTATCACGGTTTCTTCTACTGTTCTACTCCAAGGCTTCAAGAAAGCCAAAAGACCGTTCTTTAGCAGTAACACAGATTAGAAACTAATCAATTCCACATGAACAAAAAAATAACTAACTTGCTAAGAGTTGGACCGCATCATCCTGGTTTCTTCTACTATTCTACTCAGGCTTCAACAAAGCCAAAAGACCGTTCTTGAACATTAATAAAGGTTAGAAACTGTAGTACTAATCAATTCCACATGAACAAAACTACAATTAATTTGCTAAGAGTTGAAACATCAGTTAATCAAGAAAGGTAGATTGAACCGAACGCCTCACCTAGCAGGTTTCTTCTCGGTAGCAAGACGCGTCCCGCTCCATGGGAACTTCCCCACTTCCTCTCCGGCTCTGTCTTTCACCTTGGTACCTCCATTCCTCTTCTTCCCCAGCCTCCCGGGGTTGCCGTACACCACCTTGCCGCGGCCGGCCCTGGAGAAGCCCACCTTCTCATCCTCCATCCAGTGCTTCCCCTTGCCCTCCCCTTCCACCTCGGCGCCCTCCACCGCCTTCCTCCTGGCGGCGGCGGCGCTGGCCTTGCGCTCCCTCTCGCCGAGGACAAGCCCAATGGGGAAGAGGTCGGGGGAGACGGGGAGCGGGGCGCGGAGGGTGACGTAGGCCTTCTTGTAGTCGGGCTTGGCGGCGAGGAAGGGGCCCCGGCGCAGCTTCTTGCCCTCCATGTTGAGGGTGCGGACCTCGGCGACGGAGAAGCCGTACATGGACTCGAGGCAGCGGCGGATGTCGACCTTGGAGGCGGAGGGGACGGTCTTGACGGCGAACTCCTGGACGGAGGAGAGCGGCGCGGGAGGGAGCATGAGCTTGAGGGGGAGGTTGGCGAAGTGGATCACGCGGCGACCCAGCCGGCTCCCCATGGCTGGCTGGCTGGCGACGGCGGCGGGAGGTTGGGTGTGGCGGCTGTGGCCGTGGGTGGCCAGCGGCGGGAGGCGTAGGGTTTTAGGATCCGGCGGGTCCGCTGTCTAGTTGCGGTGTGACTTTAGCCCATATCCACCGTCCGGCTCATCCGACGGAGGACGTTTGGCTGTGTGTTGTTTCGAACGATGTTTCATGCGTCGTGCAAAAAAATGTTTCATCGATAAAAATAAGGTACATAAACTTGCTCGGCGAGTGTAAATAGGTATAACAACTTGTAAATTGCTCGTTTTAATACAATAGCTTGTCTAGTTTATACGAACCTAGTACAAAACAACACACATGCAAAATTGATCTAATGTGTAGTACTAAATAATCATAGTGAGACATATCCACGCTAGCAGTTGTTTGTACTTGTGCAGACCTGAGCACACTAGCTTAATTTTAAACATATCAGTCAACAACGATACTATATTACAATCTCTTGTAGGCTGCATGCACTACTGTAGGATCAAGATGTCGACTAGAGGGGGGTGAATAGGGGATTTAAAACTAAATGACACCTAATCAAAACTAACTTAAGTTGCTAGGCTTAGTGAGGGTCAACTCTAACTAAGCAACTAAGTTATGTTTTGCAAACCTAGGGTGATAGTGGCTCAATTATATCTCTAGGAAAGTAAATCACACTCCTATGTCAATGTTTAGCAATCCTAGGGTGAAATGATCTCTAGTATGTCTCTAGAAATGTAAATTGCACAAATATAAATACAACAAGTAAATGAGACAAGGAGACAAGAGATTTTTCACCGAGGTTCGGAAACTCGCCAGTTTCCTACTCCCCGTTGAGGCGAGCCCAACTCCACCGCTCAACCACGAAGCCACCGCACGCCCCCTTCGTCAAGGGGTGGGCAAGACGGGAGCAGGCCCACGGAGAGGACTACCCAAGCCTCGGCCACTAGGGTAGTTCTTCCTTCACTCCGAAGGTAGTGAACTCAAAACCACTCACAAACCGGCGCCGGGCCTCCTCCACAATCTTCTTAGAGAGGTCACCGGGCAACTCCTCCACAAGCCGTCTAGGAGGCGGCAACCTCCAAGAGTAACAAGCAATGACCCGGCATGGAGATGATAAATCAAGTGCCACACTAGCTCTACAAATAGAAGCAAATGTACTTGACTCTTGTCTAGAACAATCTCAACCACTACAATGGATGAACACTAAGCTCAAAGGTGTGTGAGAGAGGTGCAAGGGGTGTATGCAATTGAATTGGGTGCCAAGAGAGCCCCCTTGCTGCTGGAAGGGGAGTATTTATACTCCCACCAACCAAAACTAGCCGTTGGGGGCGAAATCCCCCAGCTCTGTGCTCTGCCGGTCTGACCGGAGGTATGTGGCCGGTCAGACCGTGCTACTCTGCAACGGCTAGAAAACTAGCCGTTGTAACCCTGTCAGAGGGCCCCATCGGCCTGGCCGGTCAGACCGACGTTGAGTGGCCGGTCAGACCGCCATCAGCTCGGTCTGACCGAATACGGCTCCGTCGGCTCTGTATTGACCACCCCGAGCAGCACCATCCCAGCCTCTAGAGGGCCGGTCTGACCGCCGTTTCGTGGCCGATCAGACCGGCCAGGGCACGCCGGTCAGACCACCACTATGTGGCCGGTCTGACTGCCCCTGGTCATGCCGAACCCAGTGAAAACAAAAAAGATTGTGTGTGTGAGATGAAATATGAGCACAAGTCTAAATGCATAATGACCTAATGTGTCAATTAAAAATCATCTCATTGCTAGGTCATTACCCCCTTGATAGTACGGCGAAACAAAAAAATAAACTAACAAATTTGATCGCCCTTCACCTCGACTAATTTTAAAACTAAAGCACTAGTTTTACCGTTTTCTTTTCTTCGCTTCGCGCCATCAAATTTTAATCCATCGATAGTCATCCATGCGCACACATGACGTGGACCTAACTTAAAATATATCTCAATAGCAACGGTTAGTCCACAATTAGCGCTTGTCATTAATTACCAAAATTAACAACGAGGGCCTAGATGCTTCAATCTGCCCCTTTTTGGTAATTGATAACAAACACCACGAATATATATAATCAAACATAGAACACATGGACATATACTGTAAAGGAAATCAAAAGCTCCCCCTAAACATGTGCATAACAATCACAAATGGCAAATATGGAGCCAATGCACATTTCAATTTCACAATTCAACATATCACAAACACAAGAGCAATATCTCAATGTGAACTTCAAGAAATATTCATCCATGAGCATAAGATGGTCATATATATATCAGTATCACATACACCATCCATCATTGCACAAGTTCACATCACTTAACCATTCAACTCACATAAGTCACAAATCATCCTAAAAGGGCTCACAAATAAACATAGGCTATTACAAGACCACGAAGGGTCCAAATGACATAGAGTTCAACAAAACGATAAAGAACACACAATATAGAGTAACAGCCCATACCCATACATAATATAGCTCAAACCACCTTAACCTATTAGATATGAGGACACTAACCTCACTACCATTAGTCCCAACCCACAATACATAAAGCACACCTAAGGACATTTTTCTCTCCCTTTTGGCATCAAGTACCAAAAAGGTCTTAATTCTTGTGGAGGAGAAGGAGGAAGCGCCAAAGAGGAAGGATTAGGAGTATCACGACGACGATGATATACAAAAGCTTGGGTGCTCTCCAACATTTGGACTCGAGAATCCAATGCACCCACTCTAGTGTGCAATCTCCCCATGGAAGCATTCAAGTCTCCAACATCGGTGCGCAAGCCACGAACATCCTCATGCAATGCTTCATGCCTGGTAGACAAGCGTTGAATGCTTTCACTTAAGGTATTAATAGCCCCAAGTACCGGGTTGAAGTATTCATTGGGTTGCATTCCAAAGTAAGCATAGTGAGGATGAAAGAAGCATTTGGATCATACCCATGAGGAGGAGGAGGTGCTGGGCTTGAGCTAGCTCCAGGGTGAGAAGAGGGCACCGTCCTAGGAGCACGGGGAGCTCTAGGCTGAAGGCGGGGCTTGTACTGCTTGTGCTTCTTCAAATTTTGCCCAGCAGCCCCAAGCTTGTCTTGAATCAACCTCATGATGTAAGGGGCATAATAGATTCCCTGAGTGAATGTCCTCTTGAAGATAGCAATCTCTTGCATCATGAGAGACACAATGTCGAACTGACGGCCCTGAATGATTGCATCGATGACGTGCCAAGCCACCCCCCTAATGTCATCATTGTTGCCAAGGCGAGGGAGGATAGTGGCTCTCATAATCCTTTTAACCACACTGGGGATAGTCCTCAAGCCGGCAACCTTCCCATGTGTGTACCGCACTCCATCTTCATAGAACTGAGAGAGATAGTCTATGGAGAGCGGATTGTGAGTGTGCTCCTCATGCAAATCATCTCCAAAGTCCAAGCGAATGTTGAGGAGCTGCCGGAATTGCCTTCGAGAGATAGAACACTGGAGGGTGTCGGACATCCACTTCATCTCACTCTAGTCTCCAGCCACCCACACTGTAGCATAGTACTGCCGGATCAAATCTTCATTGTAGTCTTGCTTGAGGGTCACAATCCGGTCAATGCCAACAGTCTTGAAGAGATCATGCAAGCTCTCAAACTCTGGAGTCTCATTGATGTCTCTCCAAGAAATCCACTTATGCTCTACAAATGTTTTCCCTGCATAAACCTGCTCATACACAGTCTTCTGGAAAGCGGTGTGAAAATGGGGATCCGGGGTGTCCCGAGGCCTCAAGAACTGATCATGATGCCTTAAGATGGTATACTGCGATGGATTCCTCATGTTCACCACAAACTGGATGGAGGGATCAATGTTCATCTCATCACTTTGTTCATCCTCATCCTCTCCACTTCCACTGACATCATCTCCACTTGCCTCCTCACTAGCCCCCTCAACATTGGCCTCAACCTCTTCATCACTTTGAGCGTAATCCTCTCCGCTCGATTCCTCAGGCTCACTCATGGGATCCAGAGTGGGCGCACGACAACCATGGCGAGTGCGGGGAGGCATCACTGTCAAAAAGCAAAGGATGATAGGATATTAGCAATAATTCTAGAAACAATTTGGAGAGGTGAAAATTTGCCTATATCCAGTGGAGGGATGGTCAGACCGCAGCCAGTAGGGCGGTCAGACCGACAGCATCAGGCCGGTCAAACCGCCCATGGTGGCCGGTCATACCGCCCATGGTGGCCGGTCAGACCGCTCACTGGTGGCCGGTTAGACCGAGGCTGCTGGCCGGTCAGACAGGGCGCACACGCCAGTCAGACCGGCGGCTGACCCACGGTCAGACCGCCTGTGGCTCCGGGCAGACCTCCTCCCACAAGTTCAAGCATCCAAAAAATTTTCACATCTACACATTTGAGTCTAAAATTTGCTGGAACAATATAGCATAGGATTGGAACATGAATATCAAAGGGTTGGACATATTTCATCAAGATTGGAACAAAAGAGGAAACTACCCTTAACCCTAGAGGTTGAAATAGATCGATTTGAGTGAATGCACAAGAGGGAGAGTGATTTACCGGTTGAAGGAGTTGAATCACACCAAGAAACTACCCTCTATTGGTGCAAATCGAAGAACACCTCGTGCTTCACCTAGGGTTCCATGCCATGAATCAAAAACTCAACAAAAACACAAACCAATCCATGGAATAGAGAGAGGAAGCGGAGGAGAATCACTTACGGTGTAACCGGAGAGAAATCTGCGGTCAAACTGAGGGGATTTGGTGGAGGAAAGAGTTAGGGTTTGAGGGGAGGTGAGAGAGAGAGAGAGTTTTTCGGGTTGGGGGTGAATGGGGATGAGATGGGAGAGGGTAGGTGTGGGATGGAGAAGAAAAGGGGCAAAACTGCCTGGGCCCACCTCGGCCGGTCAGACCGGCCCTATGTGGCCGGTCAGACCGCCGCACCTGGCCGGTCAGACCGCGCATATAGCGCCGGTCAGACTGCCAGGCCCCCTGCCGGCTGTGCACAGCCCTTGCACAAGCCGGCAACCCCCACACAATAAAATTCAACAAAAATTTGATTTTTGGAGCAATTTTTGAAATGTGTGAGTTTAAATATTGCTA